TTTTAGATTTAATGTTTGTTTTAAGTTTTGAAAAGTCAGCGTGTTTTTGGTAATTTTAAACTTTTGATGATATTTTGTGTAGTTTTTAAAAAGTTCGGGTTTTTTGTAATACTTCATGTACTATAATATATTATCTATGTATAATTTCTTAATCTTATTTGTTTAAATTATTGAACTATAGGTGGTTCATGTGGGGTTAATATAGGATATAATTCGTATTTGGATAGATTAACATCTAAATAAAATAATAAAATATTCAAAATAATGTTTCATGTAGTTTGTTAATCGTTTTTTAAATTGTTGAGCTATAGGTAGTTCACGTGGGATTAGATAAGATATAACTAGAATTAGAATATATTAAGATTTAAATAAAATATTCAAAATAGTGAAGAATAATATCCTATATTGTTTCATGTAGTTTAAATTGTTAATCGTTTTTTAAATCGTTTTTTAAAATAATGTTTCATGTAGTTTGAGATTATTTTTTACAAATTTTTAAAATTTCAACTGCCTAATGGTAATCCGTGGAATTCATCTATGTTGTTTGCAAGTTTTGAAATCTCTAATTTGTAAGGTGTTTTTTTATAATTTGAACTTTTTGAGGTTGTTTCTGCAATTTTAAATTCCTTGGGGGCTACCGTTAATTTTAAGATTTAATGTTTGTTTTAAGTTTTGAAAAGTCAGCGTGTTTTTGGTAATTTTGAACTTTTGATGATATTTTGTGTAATTTTTAAAAAGTTCGTGTTTTTTGTAATACTTCATGTACTATAATATATTATCTATGTATAATTTCTTAATCTTATTTGTTTAAATTATTGAACTATAGGTGGTTCATGGGGGTTAATATAGGATATAATTCGTATTTGGATAGATTAACATCTAAATAAAATAATAAAATATTCAAAATAATGTTTCATGTAGTTTGTTAATCGTTTTTTAAATTGTTGAGCTATAGGTAGTTCACGTGGGATTAGATAAGATATAACTAGAATTAGAATCAAGGTTATTGATAGCGGATCGCGTCGCGTCGCGGCGAGGTACCGCTAAGGCTATTGCGCGCTATTGCGGCGAAATAGCGGCAAATAGCGCACAGTCAAATAGCGGACAAATTTAAATATATTTAAATATCCTAAATAATAAGAAAATTCATTAAAAAATCTAAAAATTCTACAAATGCATACTTAATGCCTAAACATGAAGTAGATGTGTACAAGAACAAGAACAAATAACAAGAACAAATAAATAAACAATAACAATATAAGTACTATAACGGTAGAACTTTATTTCTTCACTCTTTATTCATACAATAACAATATAAAGTACTATAACAGTAGAACTTTATTTCTTCAACTCTTTATTCATACAATAAATAAACATGTTATATTTCTTCATTCATTCAATAACTCAATAAGTTATAAATTTATAATGATTTGATTGATTTCAAATGTTGATTATACAGGTTTTCTGGAAGTTGGAAATCTCAAGGGCACTAATCATTTCGGTGCAGCTGCTGGTTATGAAGATCAACCCGTTTATCGCATACATATTAATTTGTTGTAAATTTCTTGTATTATTAGTAAATAACAATTGATAAGCTTGTTGTATGAGTATGAATGAAACTATGAAAAAAATCAAGAAATATAGCATCATTGATTCTCGAAATACTGCAGTCCTGAACGTGATGGAAACACCATTTATGGAATACATATTAATTTGTTGTAAATTATTTCACGTATATTTTCATGTAATCATGTGATTAAAGGTTAAACATCTGTAAATATCAAACAAGAGTCCAAGACAGGTGTGCTAACGTGCCATGTCTAATAAAGATGGAAACACCATTTATTATTGACCTTCTTCAGAGTTATTCTTGTTTATTATCTAATATAGGTAAAGGAACAGAAAAATTAGTTATGCAACTATGCAAGTTGGAGAAAGCAATTCAGGCACAAAAGGAATGTGAGATGAGGTAGGAATTCCCAAAATTTGGACCTAGTCCCATAATTTTATACATTTTCCTCTGTGGCAGATCTAGCCAACAGAGATGGACGCCGGAGCCTGGAGCCTGGAGTGGAGATGATGACGTCGATGGACTCCGGAGCCTGGAGCCTGTAGCGGAGATGATGACGTCGCTGGAGCCTGGAGCCTGCAGCGGAGATGATGATGTCGAAGGAACCTAGAGCAGAGAAGATGGGAGCGGAGCTGCGGAGTGCGAAGATGATGAAGTCAAACCGTCGAAGGAGCCTGGAGCGGAGAAGATAGGAGCGGAGCTGCGGAGTGCGGAGATGATGAAGTCGAACTGTCGAAGGAGCTGGAGCGGAGAAGATGAAAGGCGGCTAGGGTTCGGGAGTGAACTGAGGGATTCGTCGCTTTTTTAGCCTCTTTTAACAAGCGGGTTCGGGTCCGGGTCGGGTTTGGGGCAAAAAAAATCAAAACACATTTGATAGCGGGTTAGCGGTTTTAGCGGGTTTGGCCGCTTTTATCCGCTTTTGGCCGCTTTTATCCGCTATTGAGCGCTTTTACGCGCTATTCGAGCGCTTCGCGGTTTTTTCCGCTAAATCCCGCCGCGAACCCCCTACGCGTAGCGCTGAGGGGCCGCGATCCGCTATAGCCCCGCTATTGCCCCGCTATTGGCCGCTATTTACAACACTGATTAGAATAGATTAAGATTTAAATGAAATATTCAAAATAGTAAAGAATAATATTGACCATGGAAAGATTTTCCCTTCACGTGGGATTAGATAAGTTATAATTAGAATTAGAATAGATTAAGATTTAAATAAAATATTCAAAATAGTAAAGGGTAATATTGACTATGGAAAGATTTTTCCGAACTCGTGATTTTAAAGAGAGTATGATAAGTGTAGAGTCAAAGATTAGTTTTTAATATTTACTTATTTTCTCGCTTTAAGTAGGAATAAAATAAGTTGGGATTTTCCAAATTATTTTTTAGGCCTTATAAGGACGTTTACCTATTGTTTGGAAAAAAGAATATTCGACAGATGAGGTTTACTTATAAGGTTGCATTAAATAAGTTTTGCCAAACATTGTGAATAGGAACTAGCAAACTAATGCTAAACAATTCAAAACTCACATAACAAATAAGAGCTAACAAAATCAAACCTCCAACCTATATCCATCTTATCTTAAATAAAACCATCTCGAACAAATCCCAATGAATTCAAAAAGATTAATCAAATATAAGCCTAATAAGTATGACATTAAAATGATAAAGGATAAGATTTCAATCCATACTCCATATTCAAACTCGTCTATTTCAAAATTGAAATGTTGTTTTGCATCAAGTATCCCTGAAAGAGAAAACTCAACCTCAAGTTTGATTGGAACAAAATAAATGCCCTAAGTGGTGATCATGGCTTTAACTATCAACTTTTTCATGTTTTGCTTTGGAAATAACAATTTCAAAATCTTAAAATTCATACATGGATAGAAGATTTTCTAATACAAATTAATGCAAAATGTATTTTGAGCAGATAATTTTGGAAGGAAAAAAGTGGTGGTAGGAAAGATCAAAAATTCTAAAAGATAAGATTAGAAAATAGGGAATCACAGCCTTACAGTGACAAGAGAAGGAATCACACCATAGCAAGAGGACTTTGGAATCACACCATAGCAAGAGGGATCATACCCTCACTAAAAAAAAAGGAATCAGACATTCAGAATAAAGGAATTGCACCCTCAATCAAATAATTCATTATTTTTTCATCAACATGACATAGTTTCTTCTAATTACATCAAACTAACTAATAGACAAGTCTGATAGCTCTCTAAATAACAAACCAAAGTTAACCAAATACAATATCTAACCTATTCACATTGTATCTACAAGACAAGACTAACATCTAAAAGATGAGAATAAAGCAATCGAAAACAATCCCATGAATTTAAAAAATTATTCAAATTTAAGCCTAATGACCATGATATTCATCTGTTAAAGGATAAAATTTTCGTATATTCTATTCATGCATCTATCTAAAAATCAAAATGATTTCCATATCACAACATAATCTTTGAAGTTTCTATGGTCAGATAGAATTGGTTAAGCCTAAGAGTCTAAGACTGAACATAGTTAATAGCACCTAAAGCGAGTTCTACCAAATAGCAAACCAGTAGCTATCTGAATAGACCTGAGTTGAGACGTTCTCAATTTAGAGTTTTGAATTATAAACTACATATTCAATTATACAATGTGTTTTCCTCTCTGACAGCTATCCAATGTTCAATGATGGTCTCCCCCCGATGTGTTGCTTATTTTAAAGTTTCTCGAGTTCTCTCACAAGCGCATTCCACAGTAAGCAACTCCCCCCGATGTGTTGCTTATTTTAAAGTTTCTCGAGTTCTCTCACAAGCGCATTCCACAGTAAGCAACACAAAAAGGACCAATTTAATGAAGACGCAAAGAGAGGCGTCATGACAAGGGCATAACTATTGTAAAACCAATATATGTTGAGATAAAGAGAGTCCCCAGATTGAAAAGCTACTAATAATCAATATGAGAATGAGTTATCATGAGGAAAATTTTACTCAATCAGCAAGGAAAATAATAATTCTTGAACTAACAAAATCCCAAAGATAAAACACAAGATTTGCAGAATCATAAAAAAAGAAGACATAGAAAGTCCATGGGCTACCTGTATAATGGTTTAAATTCTGAATATTTGCATTAGATGTTTATCAAGATCCTTCTCTTTGTATTCTCACCTTTAACTTCTTTATCATTCTTCTTACATTGTCCACATCCATCTTTGTTCAGTTTCTAAACTTTCCACAATGGGACTTTCTGATTAGTAACTCTTAAGACGAACCATCATCCAAGAAAATCCAACAATAACCCATTTCTATCTGAAACTAAGTATGCTAAAATCTCAAAGTAATTAAACTAAAATTGAACAAAGAAGCTCAATAGACTACTATAACATCTCCAAAGTTCAATAAGCTAAACAATTAAGTAAAATCAAAAGAAAAAAGAAAAGACTCACCTGCGAGAGCAGCACGATCCTCTGATTGGTGGACGCCATAACAACAGCACAGAAAGGAAACCTCGACGCCTTCAAGCTGTTGCTCATCTTGAAAC